TTCTGTGAGGCACGACCGTGACTCTCGTGAAAGCAAAACCGTGCCTCTCGCGGAATCAAAACCATGACTCTCGTTTTTTTGTCAAAAAGTTGGGGAAGACCGGTGGAAGACCAAAACGTCGAAAAAACCCGGAAAACCCGTTTAAAAAGCCGAAAATGCGTGCGGAAAAATAAAAAAACAAAATCCAGAGGTAGCGCCCAAAGCGCGATACGTGGCGAATGGCTGAGAGCGCCAAGTGGCCCTGATCATTGCGAGGCTCCCAAAGGAACGCTCGTTAATTAGTTGCTCTTGCGATTTGATGTGATCAATCCTGAGGGTGAATTTCCAACATTGACTAGTTCTAGCAATTCCATTGGCACAATGATAAATGGTAGCTATAATCGACAAAATCTGGATGTCATGCCTATGGATGAAATCTGGATGCCATGCCTATAATATTAGTCTGACTAATAACAAAGTGCAAACTGAGGCACACGTCATTCTCCTTGCCTCTACAGAAAGGGAAGAAACATGAGAGGATGTCTAAACTCTGACGGAAGTGGCGAAGAAACTGCTGAAGGTGGTACTGCGAAGGAACTCAGTGGTAGATTAAACTTGAAATTTTTTTCACTAATTAATATGGAACGGGTATAAAACATCTATCCTGGATTGTCTTGAAGATTGGTGCTGAATCACGTACATATCAAGAAAATGTTTGGAGTAATAAATAAAAACTTGGAAGCTACTGCAATTACTCGTTTGTGTTTGTCATGAAGAAATGAACAACTTTGACTTGATTATCTTTTGCACCATTTGTTGTTGATGATTCGGGATTGTATTAATTGCACTTAGTCCCTTGTTGTTACACATCATGTTCAAGTGGATGACTTTTGCATCTGTAAATTCAAGTAAATAAAATACTGTAGCTAACTGTTCAACAAAACTTACAAAGCTCTTTGCACCATGTGAGTATAAAGCCCATGATTATACTATAAAAGCAATGCTTACTCCCTGACACATATGAACCTTGAAATAAACAGAAGAGTAGTTCTATCAAATATAGATAGACAGGTGGCAGTGGATAGATTTCTCAAAGAATCAACCGTCTAGCACACTAACGCTGGTAAACTACATGAAAAGATGAAAAAAAATCGAGAAAACGCAAAAGACCTTTGCATTTCATTGCATTGAAAGGATGGGGAAAAATGCATTAATTCAAAAAGTGTTCAGAAAATTGGAAAATTTCATGGATTTCGAAATTTGTTCATGATTTTGAAAAGTTCACAAAATTGGAAAACAATTCATAATTTTTTCCAAAAAATTGTCAAATTTGAAAAAACTTCACGATTTGAAAAAAAGTTCATGGGTTTTGAAATGAAGTTCACGGTTTGACAAAAGTTCATCGATTTGGACCAAAAAGTTCACGGATTTTAAAAAAGTTCATCAATTTTGAAAAAAAATCACATATTTGAAAAAGCATCCGGATTTTGAACAATAATTCTCGGATTTGGAAAAAGTTCATCGTTTTTTGAAAAACAATTCATGGATTTAAAAAAAGTTCACAGATTTAAAAAAGGAAGTTCACTAAAAAAGTTGCAAAAAACTGAAAAGTATTCATGGATTTTAAAAAATGTTCACTAGACAGTTTGCAAGAAACTGAAAAAAAACACAGATTTGAAAAAAAGTTCTAGAAAATTGAAAAAGGTTCATGCTTTTAAGAAAGAATACAGGAAAAAGGAAAATAAAAAAACTGTAGAAAAACTGGCGAAAGAAAATGCAAATAATATAATTAGAGCCTTCGTTGTAGTGTTACACAGTTGAGGCATAACAAAAAAGAGGAAAAACAGTTTATTGGCACGTAAGTTATTGTGGCCGAGTTGGTTGTCCTAGTTGATTTGATCCGTTAGGTTGAGAGATTGTAACCTACTCTTGCCCATTTTTTTGAAGTTTGGAAAAACAAAAGAAAATGTGAATGGGCCAAGCCCAGGCCGTTGGTGGAGCTTTAGGCTAGCTGGTGCTCGAAGGCAGCCAGTAATGGGCTGTCCACATCTCTGGCGTCTAGCAAAAATGATCAAAAACGGAAACGTGAATACTGCGCTACTATTTTCTAAAATGCGGGAATCAAACCAGCATGCTAACTCTAAATACAAGAGTGACTAACCACTGCACCACAATCGCTATGATGTCATCAATTGAAAAACATGCTATTTGACCATTTTTCCGGTCCCAGTATAAATTATTTCGGGAAAAACTTGTAAATATGAAAAAAAGATTTCACAAATTCTTAAAAAGCTCATCTATTTCAAAATCAGTTCTCAGATTTTCTCAAAACAAATTCATAAAATCAAAACAAGTTCATCGATTTTGATAAAAAAAAAGTTCACAAATTTGAAAATAGCTCTCTGAATTTTGAAAAAAGCTCACAGATTTGAGAAAAGTTCATGGATTTTAAAAAGGTTCATTGAGTATGATAAAAAAACATTCACAAATTTTAAAAGAGTTCACCAAATTTTGAAAAAACTTCATGGATTTGAGAAAAGTTTATTGATTTTAGAAAAATCACCGATTTAGACGATAAAGTTCACAAATTTGAAAAGAGTTCACCGAATTTTGAAAAAAGGTTCTCGGGTTTATAAAAAGTTCAACAATTTCGGTAAAAAAGTTCACTAATGTGAAAAAGGTTCACTAGTTTCCACAAAAGGTTCACAAATTCGAAAAAGTTCATCAATTTTGAATAAATAGTTCACGAACTGGGAAAAATTTCACTGGTTTTTTTAAATAATCATGCATTTAAGAAAAAGAAAGAAAAGAAGGAACAAGAAAACAAGAAAAAAAAGAAAAAAAGGAGAAAAAGAAAAGGTAAGGAAGATTTCATAAAAGGAGAAAGGATGTCTCAAATCAAATGAGGGTAGTTGTGTAGTTCGTTACCGTAGCTAACATAAAAAGAGGAAGTCGTGAGGTTGCGAGTTCGAGTGTCAACAACCCATAGTTTTTTGCGGTTTCGAACAAAAAAAGGGGCAGAAATGGGTCGGCCCATTGCGCAGCGAGGGGTATGCGCCCGTTTGCGGAAATGCCTTATTCGGGCGCTAAAGGCGCCGAATAGGGTTTGACCCATTGGTGGTGGGGGTGGGGGAGTTGTGTGCCTGTCTCTAAACTAGCCCTGTACGGAAAGACCGTGAGGGGTGGGCCAAGCCCAGGCCATGGAGGGGAGGGGGGAGGGGGCGCAGTTGTGTGCCCGTTTCTAAATTAGCCATGTACAACGTACACGGTGATTAGGCAAAAGTCTATACTACCCTTTATACGAGGGGTGTATAACGTAGACTTTCTAACAATGATTCTCTCCCCCCTAATTTTGAGAGAGGTGCCCCCCCCCAATCCTCCTATATCCAATCCAGAGTGTCCACGCTGCACATTACGTAAAGTAACATAGATTATTTTATGTAGGTGTAGCATTGTCTTTGTATTAATTGCACTTAGTCCCTTGTTTTTTTTTCACGAGCAGTTAGTCCCCTTGTTGTTAAACATCATGTTCAAGGGGATGACTTTTGCATGTGTAAATTGAAGTAAATAAAATACTGTAGGTAACTGTTCAATAAAAATTACAAAGCTCTTTGCACCATGTGAGTATAAATCCCTTGATTATATTATAAAAGTAATGCTTACTCCCTGGCACATATGAACCTTGAAATAAACAAAAATCTAGTTCTATCAAATATGGATGAAGATAGATAGACAGGTGGCAGTGGATAGATTTTTCAAAGAATCAACCGTCTAGCACACTAGCCCTGGTAAACTACATGTAAAAGATAAAAAAATCAAGAAACGCAAATGACCTTTGCAATTCATTGCATTGAAAGGATGGGGGAAAGTTATAGTCCTCCTAGGACGTTAATATTGCAGTACATCATACAACTCAGTGGACATCCCAGGATTGGTGCAGAACAACCCGCGGGTCTTGTGCCCCTGCCTTAGCCCATCATTGGATCTCATCCTTGATCTTGTTGAGGAGCCCAGTGATGGAAGACATCGCATTGTCGAAGACGCATTCATTGGCGATATTCTTGGCATCTGCCGCAATACCAGCCAATCCTCTCCTTCCTAACCCAGCACAATAGAGCCCATTTTCACCTTTCCAATGATTCGGATATTCTTTGATGGGCAGTCCATTGCCATTTAACATGCTCTCACCATTCTAGGATAAAAAAATAACATAGAGCTTGTTAGCAGATTTAACAATTGTTGCACCAAGAAAACAAACTCAGACATATTCAAACAACAATGTTGTTACCTTGAGCCATATATTTGTTGTGCTTTTGTATCCAGTTGCAAACACAATCACGTTAAATGATATCTTTTTACTGCATTGAAATTCAACTATATCACCCATGATCTTACTAATGCTCCCATGTACCTGTAGGAGATGAATAGAATATTGATAACTTGGCATATAAAGATAACATATGCTATGAAATTTATGTCATGTTAAGGCTATACTTACTTTGATGATACCTTTTTTGATTAACCCAACAGTGCCAACATCAATAACAGCGGATCGGCCGGTTTTTGACTTGAGGATCATTGGACCCATTTTTGGCCTTCTAATGCCATACCTCGATAGGTCTCCAAATATTAAATTCGCCGCCATCACAAGGAGGTTATCCACTAGATTCAGTGGAAGGCGGCGAGCAAGTGTCATCCCCAACCGGATTAGTTCCTTTGTCATTACATGAATCTGCAACCACAAAACTTGTCACGTCTCTTTTGAACCGTGCATCCTAAAATAAAATTTCATAGAATCATCTTCTTTCAAGAGCTAATTTTTCGGTGTAGTTCGTCTGATTGCTTAGTTGTTTGTGCATGTTATAAAATAGTCTATCGCTCTATACCATGAAATACTTTCTAGTAATAACTCTGGAAAATAACATCCATCTAGTGGTGGTTATAATAAGAAATTTCCATGTACCCACTGAAAATATATAGTGCCCGTAGGGTGGGGTGGGGGATTCGCTAGTGTTTCCAGGTTAAAAAATAATATATAGTGCATGTACATACCGGGCTTCGTATAACAACTGAAGTATTGGCACCATGGGCCGCAAGGTCATAAGCAATTTCCATTCTGGAGTTGCCAGATCCAACAACCAATACATTCATGCCAGAGTAGCTCTTGCCTGACTTGTAGCTTGAGGAGTGGATGACATCACCTGGAAAACTTTATAGTCCGGGGGTCATTGGAATATTCTCTGCACTATTCTCACCACTTGCCACAACAAGAAACTTTGTTGTGAACCTGACTATTGTGCTCTTTGCCATGTCATGTGCCATGATGGACCAACATTTTTCGTCATCGTCAAATGTGGATGACTCCACACTAGTGAGATACTTGGGTTGAATATTAAAACGCTCAACATAGTCATCCAAGTACTTGACAAACAAGGTTTTTGGTATGTATGTTGGAGCATCTAGTGGGTATGACATGTGTGGCAACTCACAGAACTCCTTTGCAAGATGCAGCTTGAGGCGATCGTAGGCGCGGTTGCGCCAAAGCGACGCGCTGCAACTTTCACACTCGACAATGAGATAGGGAATTGAGAATTGGCTAAGGCATGCTGCTGTTGCAAGGCCTGCTGGCCCAACGCCAACAATCAACACTACAACATTCTCCATTTCAAAGAGAAGAGTTGACAAAGTTGTGGGATGGGTGCAATGGTAGGCTGGAGTGTTTGCTTGTTTGCTCGATGAATCTTTGGATGCATATATGGGCATATATATACTGGTATGCCTCATGTGTCAATCTATTTCGAATGAGGAATGAAAAAGATAAAGATTTATTGATGCCTTATCCTGGTGTGTACTAGTATTCCGTTTAAATATTGAACCATTGGTGTGAAAGCATGTCCTGATACATTATAGAGGATACAAAATAGGCAGGAAACACACTCTTGATCGATTGTTTTTTTGGAAACTTATCAACCAGCTTTGGATATGTTTAGACTAAAATCTCTTTTGAATTTCTTTCCGTTCCTGTTGTATCAATGAAAATTCATACGGGATAAGTATATGTTAAGTATATACTCCCTCCATCCCAAATTATTTGTCGCGGAAATGGATGTATCTAGACATATTTTTAGTTCTAGATACATCCATTTCTATCCATTTTAAGGACAGGGGAGTACTTGTATTGAAAGATTGTGGATGTCGCCTAGAGGGGGGGGGTGAATTGGTGCATTAACATAATTATGGTTTAGGCTTGAACAAATGCAGAATAAAACTAGCATTTAATTTGTCAAGCACAAAATCTAAAATAACTAGGCTCACCTATGTGCACCAACAACTTATGCTAAGCAAGATAAATAACTAGGAGATAGCAAGATACATAACATGAAACACTATGGCTATCACAAAGTAAAGTGCATAAGTAAAGGGGTTGGGTAAGAGATAACCGAGGCAGCTGAGACATGATGTATCCCGAAGTTCACACCCTTGCGGATGTTAATCACCGTTTGGACTGGTGTGGAGGCAGAATGCTCCCCAAGAAGCCACTAGGGCCATCGTAATCTCCTAACGCTCTCGCACAGGGCAAGATGCCGTGATTCCACTAAGGGACCCTTGACGGCAGTCACCAAACCCATACAAATGCCAACCCTTGTGGCAGTGACCAAACATGTACACTTTGGAAACCCTTGGGGCGGTCACTGGTACCCGTAAAATTGCTCGGGGCGACCTGCACAACCCAATTGGAGACCCCGACGCTTGCCCGGAGCTTTACACCACAATGATTGAGTTTCAACAACACCAACCATCTAGGGTATCAAGACAACCAAGAGGAACAAACTCTAGGGTGTCCAAACACACAAGAGTAACAAGCTTCTCAACTTCACTTCCACGTATCACCGTGGAGAACTCAAACCGATGCACCAAATGCAATGGCAAGGGCACACAAAGTGCCCTAGTCCTTCTCTCCCAAATCCCACCAAAGCAACTAATGATAGGGAGGGAAATGAGAGGAAGAACGAAGAAGAGAACACGAAGAACTCCAAGATCTTGATCTAAGGGGTTCCCCTCACATAGAGGAGAAAGTGATTGGTGGAAACGTAGATTTAGATCTCCTCTCTCTTTTCCCTCAAGAACTAGCAAGAATCATTGGAGGGTTCGAGAGTTAGCAAGCTCGAAGAAGGTCAATAATGGAGGAAAAACACGAGCTCGAATGATAAGGTTCAAAGGGGAAGAAGAACCCCTTTTATAGGAGGGAAAAATCCAACTGTTACCTTGCTCCTAGCCCGTACAGAGCGGCACTATCGCTCGGGCGGTAGTAACCCAAAAGCAGTGCAATGGCACGAAGCCACGAGCCGGTAGTGCAGCCGTAGCGGTATTACCGGTTGCTCCAGCGGTACTACCGTTGGGGTTGCAGCACGGGGTTACTCAGAAGCAGAGCAGGAACAGGGGAGAAGCAGTAGAACTGCTACAGTGGTACTACTGCCCAGCTAAGCGGTACTACTGCTTATAGGAAGTAGTGCTGCCCTCCACAACCGCTTCACCTCCGCTGAGAGTGCATCGAGACCTAGAGGGAGCGGCAGCGCAGCGCTAGTAGCGTGCAGTACTACTGCTTAAAGGCGGTACTACCGCTTCGCACTACCGTTGCATTTCCGCGCAAACCCGACATGAAAGCTGAATTCCTAGAAGCAGCGGTAGTAGGCGCGGTACCGGACAGCGGTAGTACCACTTATAAGTGGTACTACCGCTAACCAGAGTGGTACTACAACTTGTGGCCTCCAGCTCACAAGCACAACTACAGATGACTAGAAGAAAACCAAAATTGCCATAACTTCTGCAAATGAGCTTCGAATTGAGGAAACTCAAGCTTACTGGATAGATGACGACGAATACTATCCAACAGCGAAACCAAAATTGTTGCGCTCTGCGCGGCGTGATCAACAAACGAGAGTGATCGGAAGAGGACTGTACACGGTAAGGCTGACAACTGGGACCCACGAGGTCCATGGTCGCACGCAAGGAAAGTTCCTCCTTATTAAGCAGAAAAAATGTTTCCTCCCCCTGACAGCTGGGACCCACTAGCTACATCTTCATATGCAAGGAATTGCCTCCTAATTACATGAAAAAAATATGATTATCAACATGACCATATCATGTACATCATTTCTCCCAAATAAATATATGTTCGTTAGATGATGTTTCTTCCATCTCTGCAACTGTAGTTGATTGTGCAGATCTATACTGCAACTTTAGTTTTACTAATGATCAAAGTCTTCACATTTTCTTAGGAATTGCATTACTTATGCTGGACTCTTTTTGTATAAGCACCATATTAGGACTCGCAACATGGTCGTCGGTGTAGTAGTTTCTCTTGATGTGTATACAAACAACTACTTCACTATATTATGTAGGACGATAGTTGATGCCACTAGAGATACTAAAGCAGTTGGAATATACCTGCAACGTCTCGCCTTACCATGTAGACTTGATGTGCTTTCTTCCATTTATGCTTCTAGAGATGCCATGCTCTCCACAGAGAATGACCAAAGTACTTGTCTTTGTATAAATTGTTTTTCTTTTGGTGATGTTGTTATCACTTGTATGTTCTCCACTTTATATGTGTTCATATTATAAGCATAACTATATTTATTAAGTGTGTATACATATATTCATTCTACATATAGTAACTTAGACATTTTTTCAACTTATTTGTCACTTTATACTTACCAAAAATCATATTTATTCTATCAAAAGAAGGGACGGATGCAACAACGCGCGCCATGATGCTCTAGTTAATTTATAATACTACCCATTGCGAGAGATTCTACACTCGTGGTTTGGTAGCAATAGCTGCCAGGACCAACAACATTTAGGCCCATCGCAAGGGGCACCATCTCGTGAGGTAGAGACCGGGGGGTGCGTGCTACCCACAAGGGCAGCAACCGAACCGGGAACCGGAATTTTTTTCTTAAGACAGTCCTAATGCCTCACTTTGGAACATATGTATGTCGTCCATATTGTATACTTGGGCCATACTTTTTCATATGTGTGTGGATCAGAGACCCACACCTAGGTGACCGGTTTCGTTGGACGTGCAGAATCACTAGTTAAGGGGTACCCCTTACAAAGGTCACTCCTACCATCTTTGATGGTGAAAAATGTCGCACTACATGGTGACACTTGTCGTAACCTGGAAGTTTTGGTGGAATTTCTTCTCATGCACGGGAGGTACGTGATGACTTTTTTATATTTTGAACTGTGCATCCAAATCATCAACCATTTTCACCATTGTGTTTCTCGCGTCGAGATCTTTGAAACTAGATCCCATGTTGATAGGTTTCGACGTATATTTTTTTGGAAAATATGTGCTTCCAAACTTTAAGAATCCGTGCTTCCAAGTAAACTAACTTGTGCTTTTCTAGATGTGCTTCACGCGGAAGCAGACCTGTACTTCACTTTTGGGGAAGCATAGACACACAATTGTGCTTCACACGGAAGCACATCTATGCTACACTTTTTGGGGAAGCACATAAGTGCAACTTATGCTTCACACAGAAGCACAGTCGTCTTCTCGTGTGAAATCCCAGCTTCACATGGAAACCGAAAAAAATTGGAAACATGATATCAAAAATAAATCGAAAACCAAAGAAACTAGAGAAAAAAAGAAAAAGAAACCAGAAATAAAAAATTGGAAACCAAAAAAACCAAAAATAAAAAACTAGAAACCCCAAAAAATGAAAAAAAAACAAAAAATAAGCACGGAAGCACATTTGTGCTTCACTTTTTTCGGAAGCATGAAAGCACATCTATACTTCAATTTTTTTTGTAAGCAAACCTATTGTTCATGCGGAATAGAACAAACACAGAAAAAAGTACCCAAAAAACCTGGAAATCCCTGGAAACTCAAAAAACCCAGAAATAAAAGTTAAAAGCAAAAATGATATATGAAAAATTAGAGAATTTTTTTCCAATGAGAGAAGCACCCAACAAGCGCCACATGACGGCACTGGGGCGCTCTGCACCAGAAAACTGCCTTCCGCCAGGGGTATATGTTGAACATATTATGTAGGCCTACACGCAGAAATAGCTCAGTTCGAGAGAGGGTTGAGCTTCATCGGTTAGTGTGCACCAAAGGATGAGGTTTCTTTCTCATCCTACAAATTGAAACCGTTCTAGTTAGGATAATCTCCTACCAGCTCCACCTCTAGTTTCCTTGTATAGATGAGGCTGAGGGCTCCCCCTTGTACATATATATGTGCGTTGTGAACCCGATCAATATCGAGAGTTGCATTGCCTTCCAACATGGTATCAGTTTCCTTCCCGATCCTACCCTAGCTTCTGCCTAAGCCCTAGATGCGCTGCCGCCGCCCCCTCGTTGCCGTCGCTGCCACCTTCCCGCGCCGCTGCCGCATCTAGCCCCGCCGACGCATGCGCCTCATCCCTTCGCTTCTCCCTCACCCAATCGCCACCTCCCCTTCCCACCCCGATCGCCACCTCTCCTTCCCTGTCCCGATCCCCATCCACCCGAGCCGCCGCCATTGATCGAACCCACCCGCGCTGCCGCTTCCTTTTGCTGTTGCGCCCAAACCTCCATCTCCACCGATGGCCTCTCCCCACTCCTCCTTCTCCATCCCCTCCAACCCCTTGGACGGTCCGGCTCCTCCTCCGGTGGA